AGCCCGGCTGCGGCCGGCCAGCCCACTCACCTTGTGGCTCTGGTAGGTCTCAAGCGCTCGGATCGCCGTCTCGGTGAGCTTCACATGCAGTACGGTGATGTTGTCCTGCCCCAGGCGTCCGCACGACAGCCCATAGCGCTGCTCTTCCCGCAGGCCCGCCGCCCCCCCTGCCGCCATCTTAAACTCCCCGGGGTGCCGCCGCCGACGCCGCTCGGGCTCTAGCCTCCACTGCGGCCGCGGCTGCTCGGGCTTCTGCAGCCGCCGCCACAGCTACGGCCATCCCGCTGCTGACGTACTGTCATATACTGCGCGCAGCCAGACCTTGGGCTGCCACGGCCGCCACCCGCCCCACCCTCTCGCCCCGCGCCCCGCCCCGAGCTCGTTTCATTGGCCCCGTTTCCCCTCAGGACCGCCCTCATTGGCCGCCATCCACTCTCTCGGGGGCGGAGCCCAAAGTCGCCGGAGTTTTGCTCCCGGGACGGGACGGGACGTCCGAGAGGTGAGAGGCTGACGTCGAGGTGACGCGCCCACTTAATCACATCTTACGTCACATCTAATCTTCTTGGCTCGCCAGCCGCGATTGGCCAGGCTGGCTTGGTGGATCTTCTGCTTATTGGGTCTCCAAGTTGCCTAGTATGGTTACCTGGAGTTGGAGACCTACCCTTTGGAAGATAATAGTGGAGAGTAGGGAAGAGTCTTTTCCTGAGCTGTTGGTCCTGGGAGAGGAGAACCCTCACCCCCAAATGTGTGGCCACCAAGTAAGGACTTTGTCCTCCGACGGCTGCGGAAGCTTTTGGAGATTCGTTTGTGCCAGGGAGGATGCAGTAGGTGGAGTCACTGGAGAGCTTTTCAGAACTGAGTTTAGTGCTGTTGAGCAGACAGAATTGGGGAGGACACCCTTCTTTGTCGTTTCTCCCCAACTTTGAAATTAGTGAGTCGACCCTAGATTGAGTTGTGCTAGATCGTGTGGAACATCTTAAGTACAACAGCATGCCTAAGACTTAAAAAAAAAAATGCCTTTGGTGTGGTGGATACAGTAACTACAGAAAATTGAACTTCAGGGTCTTTCCCACGCCATGCCCGCTTGTGATGCCATAGGAACGTATTCTGTTCCTCTGGAGCTCGCCATGGGGGCAGGGTGGTGCCTTTTATGGGACTTGGAGGGCCGCTCCTGGTTGTAGTGGTATCTCCTTTTAAAAGAGTATAACTGGCCTCCACCTAAATTAAAAGAAACATCAACACCTCTCTTTCTCTGGTTCTGTCTGAGTTCTGTCCATTTCATTTGACAGCGAGGTTGGAAAACCTAGCTGGGGTTTAAGCTATTGATGTTAAGTGGGGAATATGGGGGTGTGAGGGTGTGGGGAGGCCGGGCATATTTTCCATTCCTCGCGATGCTCCGTGTGTAGGCGTGGCTAAAGGAGAGAACCTAATCAGGAGCCCTCTTGAGGCTGTGTATGGATAGACTGACAGGATTCCCGTCAGAGAGGATGGATTAACCTTGTGATCAGAAACAACCAGATGAAAACAGACTATTGAAAAGCTTGAAACTGTTGAAAGGCAGTTTTTAAAAATTACTTAAAAAAAGATTTGAGACGCTTATTGTTTCCCTCAGATTGTAAAACCTCGTTAGGTTTTACAGGGATTCCCCCCAAAAATTTATAAGCATTTTAAAATCAGTATTTCCCATTTTTTAAATTAGAAAGGGCCGTATTTTCTAAAAAGGTCCATGTGGGAGTTTTTAACACCTCCCCCCGCCACACACACTCCTGAATAAATCCCTTCCCCAGCCTACAGGTACACTACCTCTTGATTCAGACTCTCAAGCATCGTATGTGTACGATATGAATTACAGAATGAATTCTCCTTCCATAGAGTATGAGTTAAGTGGAAACACCTGTATTAAGTGCTGGTGACATCGCAGAAGAGTATTTTTTAAATTGACTTAATTTCAATCCGCTAGAATTGGCTAGCTGTTAAGATATGATTAACACTTGTTAATTTAGTTTACTAGAGTGTTAATTACCTTAAATTCATTGAGTAGAGAAATTAAGGCAATCACAAAAAAATCCAAAATATAATTTTGTACTTGAATTATTTTTTTTCTTGTGTTTGTTTTACTTTGATAGGGAAGTATTTACTTTGACATATCTAAAGCTCTAATTATTTGGCAGGGAGTGGGGGAGGAGTTTGACCAGAACAAGTCAAACCTGTATCCCACTGCTTTTCCGGTGAAGGTGGGTAAATCCCCGCCCACATGGCATCTTAACTTGGCCTTCAATTACTCAGAACTTCTGCTGACATCCAAGAGGTGGGGGAGGAGCAAGGGTGGATTTTACTGTAGTTTTCAAATGTTTGACCTGGAGCCACTTTCTAGTAATTGATTTTCTTAATTGTAGTAGAATTTTTTTTCTCATGCTCTATTTTAATGGGTAGCAATCTTTCCATGGGTAATAAATTATTGTAGTGAGTTATTATTTGTTTGTATTTTTCCTCTTTTGAGCTTTTTGACTCTGGAAGGAAGCAATGACCATATACAAAGGAATATGGTAATCTAATAGTGTTGCATAATGCCTACATGAATCAGATGGGCCAGTTGGGACAGTGATAAGGGTAATTCTTTTTGAGGAGGCTGTTGAAAGTTGCTCTTTGGGAAATTTGCCATTTTATGGATATTTTCTGTATCATTCAGTTTAAATAATTAACAATAATTATCGAATGCCAATTAAATGTAAAAGGCTGTGGGAGATTTAAAAATTAAACAGTATAGTCATATTTAAAGGAATTTTCTGTTTTAATATGGTGAATAAACTAACATACTCAAAGCAAAGCAAGCAGAGAATAAATGCTACTTTGGGTGATAAGCCCAAAAATTCAAAGAAAGGAGAAATCCAGAGAAGTCTTGTGGAGGTGGCAGAACTTGACCATCTACTCAAGAGCTGAGTAGATTCTAGATAAGTGGAGGTGGTATAGATTGGGAGAGCTAGCTAAAAATGATCGTAATGATCATTCTAGTTGAACCCATTCATTTTATGAATGAGGAAACTGAAGACACTTAATTTAAAAGCAACCGGCTGTCAATCTTAAAAATTAAAACGATAAAGGTTATTCAAGCAGCAAATGAGTTTATTTGGGAATAGCAGAAAAATTGCCATTTGGGACATGCAAACAAACTATGGTGAACCATAGGCAAGTCTGAAGAGACAAGGGAGGTCAGCTTTTATTGGGTTCCAGGAGGAAATTGGGGAGGGTTGTTTTGAACAGGAGCTCACTGGTGGAGAAGGAGAGTTCGAGGTTGTGGCCGTTTTGTATTGGCATCAAGCAGAGAACAGTTGCTATTACTGAGGCAAGCGGAGAAGAAATCGTCCTTTTTTTTTTGCTGGTTATGTAAGCTTCCACTAATGATAGTACATGAGAGCTCTCCCTTCATGGCGTCCAAATAATTTGAATGTTTCCTTCATTCATTTTCATACTGCCTAATTTATTACAACCAGGAGAGGCAGGGTTTGAATCAGCTGTTTTAAGTGTCCTTCTAGTCACTGTATACACTGAGTAGCTATTATTTGGATTTAACAACAGGAAAAATATGTCTTACAGAGTAATTTAGTGCAAGGAAAAGTCAAAAAGGAAGTAACCTGATGTAAAGCCTATTTTATCTCTGATGTCTACCATATGATGCTGGCAAAGGACGTGAACATCAAGGCCTTTGCTGGCCTTCAAATACCAAATCACCCCTCATTCTTGGTTGCCACATACTTAGTGACCATTTCTCACTCACCTTTGGAGCATAGGTCACCAATTCAGGTGACTTCAGGAACCATCAGGTACCCAAAATGAGTGAAGCAGGCCAGACACAATGCCATAGGGACTGAAGGAGCTGGACTGTGGTGAGCTGGGGGTATTTAAAGGGCTCAGTGGTTTTCTGGTGCAGCTGATTGTTGCTGGGTGAATATTTAGGGGCCCAGCATTGTCTAATCATATTTTTCAAGAAAAGCTGGAAATTGCAGGATTTTACATGAACTTTCTGATTTTCGTTGGCTAATGAAAAGTTTTAATAAATGTTTTGAGGACATTAAAAATCTTGGGCCTGAGGTAGCCCATAGCTTTCTGGTTTTCAACCTCTGCTTTAGTAATTTCCAGTATGAAAGGCCATTTTGTCTTATACCTATCTTAATAGTTTTATGAGTTATTTCTTAAAGCTACTTATAAAAAAGTTCATACTAATGTCTTAATATAAGGCAATGGTTATGAAAAGAGGATACAGAACCCTTGAGTTATAGCAAAGAAGCTCTCTGGAAGAAGAATTTCTGGTGGAAATTCTTTCCCCTTGAAATTCTCCCTGATGCCTCCTGCCCCAATTGTGTTTGACTCCCCACTATTGTACTGCTCTCCTATCAAGACTGCCCAGTTCTGTGCAAAAATCTCCTCCTTTCCTTGGACACAGCTAAAGTAGGAGCTTGATGGTTTTAAAATAACTTCACTAAAGGTTTATAGGGAATAAAAGTGAAATACCTACAGAAGGGACATAAATATTTGCTGCCTAAACACAGATTTTAAGAGGAACAATTATTGTATCATGTATGATTATTTTTTACTCCACTCGGTTTAAGAAATGTCACATTGCATTATTTATCATCATCATCATCATCATCATCATCATCATCATCATTGCTAAATCTGACTCTGAGGATCCCTCATCTCACGGTGTAGTAGAACAATAAATCCACAGGTCTTACAAATGTCCCACAATATATGGGGAGGCCTCTCTGGTCTTTCTTTGTCTTTCACTCCTGGCATAATTGATTAGAAGCTCAAGAATTTCCTTTTAGGAAGGGTTTGGAACTAGGTAAATCTAAATGGAAGGAATCAGACGACCTGAATTGAAACTGGGTTTATATAGCAAACATACTGGTTTTACTTAGATTGTGTATTTATTTGGTGGTGGGATTGAGGGTGGCATACTGATGGAGATAATGAGAAGGGAGGCTGAAACCCTCTCTAACCAATACTTTGCACCAAAACATATATGATGAATGGTCTACATGATTTCCTGAAAGGTATAGCTCATCTGGAAACTTTGCTGAGACTGGCAGCATTGGGGTACCAGGTAACTTCTATCTACAGATGTGTACTTTCCTGAGGAGCTGAAAGAACAGTGGACTTGGGCTGTACCCTTCCTGGGATTGGCAGCCTCTGCCCTTTCTCAGTCTTATGGGAAGCTATCTCAGGCCTAGATTTCTGCGTCTATACTCTCTTAGTCTCCATAGTTCTTTCTTCCTCCTCTGACATTCTGGCTCTTTTTAAAAACTGTGATCTTAGAGTAAGGAAAGTAGCACGTCCCCTCCCAATTCCTCTGATATCCCCCCACCTCCAGTTTAAATCTCTTCTTTCTTTTTAAAGTTTCTTCCCCACCTCCCCAATTACAGTTGACATACAATATTATACTGGTTTCAGGTATACAACATACTTGTTAGACATTCATATACCTTACAAAGTAATTACCCCACATCGTTATTATAATATTATTGACTA